CCAGCCTGGCGCTGCGTGCGCCCCGCCGCCCCTCGGGCTGACCCAGCCGGGGAACGGGCTCCCGCAGACTCCCAGCTCCCGCCGTCTCGGGGCCCAGAGCGCAGACGGAGGTGAACCCCGGGCCGCCCGCGCTGCGGGCATCGCCAGGGGCGACGGGTGCGCGCGCGCGTGGGCCTTCCATCCACCTCTCCGCACCACCCCCGGCACAGCCCGCCCCCGCCCCCCGGGGTTTGGAGACCACAGCACGTTCCAGAACCAGCCATGGCGGTTTCCAACGTTAAGCCCAGACGCGAGTGGGTAATCTCGAACCCGTTTCCTGCTGGAACGGGGAGAGTCATCAGAAGGTGAGTCTTGGTTTGGGGGAGCGCGTCTAGACGCTGAGGTTGTCTGATTAAGCGCTACCCTGGCCCGAGGTGGGGCCCAGGAAGGCTGAGAGACTAGTGGCTCCGCAAGATGAGGTTTGAAATGCAAACCGCCGCCACTTGGCCCCAATTAGAGGCCAAACTTTTATGTAAACAAGGAATAATTAGCTTTGGTAATAGAAGCGTAAACAGAGTCATCATCCATTGATTTGCTAATTGCCCTTCTGTTCCTTGACAATAGCCGGCGTTTGGCCCGTGGAGCAGACTGGCGCGGCGCACCTGAGGCTCAGGTATTGGAGGTCTGGACGCCAAAAGGGGGCGGGGGTGGGAAGTGGGGCCGACTTCCCACCTCCCAGGTCCTGCTGGCTGGCTGCTCCCCTCCCTTTTCTTCCTGGCCGCTCTTGTCACTTCCCAAAGGAGCTGGGATGGAGGATGCAGGGTAGTGTCTGGGAGGCATGGAGTTGCTGGGGACTGGGGAGGGCAGCTGTCACCCCAGCTGGGATCAATGAATTCCTAGAAACTGCAGTTCCTCAATCGCCCGTCTTCAGCCCCAAAGGTCCCTGCCTGGGAACAGTTGCCCCTCACTTCCCCCTCCCATGCAGCCCATTGGACTCCCAGATGGCAACCTCTCATCTGCCCTCTGCACAGACCAGCTCAGGAGGCTTCCTAGCTCTAGAAGCTTCTATACTGTAGGGATGGAGTGGGTTCAGTGTTGGCCTTCTAAACCTCAGGGCCAGCAGTTCGAGCCCACCTGTTTCTGAGGGAGAGAGTCAATGGAAGTGGTCTCCATCAGAGGAGGTTAGAGTTTCCTTGGGGGGG